CCGCGGGCTGTGAGGGGCTGTGAGGGGAAGGCGGTTAGGGGAATTGGGCTCCTTCTGCCGGCCTGCGGTGCTCCACCGGGTGCCGGTCGGGGTCACCGGGCCGCCGAGACCTCTCCCTGCGAGCAGGAGGGACACCTCACCCCGGGGCCTTGCGTTTTCGCCTCAAAGAGCAGGCCCAGGCTGGGGTGGGTGGCTGAGCTGGTACTGAGAGAGCCCTCCTGCTGTCTGCGGGGCCCTGTCGGTGAGCCAAAAATGACCTGTTTTGACTGGCACAAACAAACATCTGGGTGAACCGTGTAGTTCGCAGGGGAGGCACCCCCCGGGTTCTTTCCAGGTTTCTGGGTTTAGGAGAAAAGGTTTGAAAATTGCTGAAAGTCAGGTGAGGAAATCTCTAATTCACAGCAAAAAAGAAGCATGAGAAAGGCTTGCACGCTTGACCTTGATTACCATGTGCCTCAAAATTCAATAGAGGCGCTGGTGTTAAGTGTCCCACATCTGGCTGTTAAACAGCTTACTTTTAACTTGCAAAAATTAATATGTAACCTCAAAAAAGCACACATGCAAGTGTGTGGTATACCAAATACAGAAAACCTGTGGTGTCCAGTGGTCCCATTTATTTTATTTTTCATTCATCGCCACATAGTGACTATGGTGCATATTCCTCCGGTATTTGCACTTAAACTGGCGTGTTATTTTATAAGATGTCCATTCATAGTACGTGCAACTAACAGCGTTGATCTCTGAGTGGAGGATGGGTGGAATACTAGTTACACATTAGAAAGTCTTTTGCCAGAGAAGTTGCAAAAACAAATGTACAAGGAGGGAGGAAGATAAAAATTGAGTATTGATTAACTGTCCTGAAGGGAGAGATAACTGTGGTTTCACAGTAGTCTCTGCTGCTACTGTACTAAGAGGCCCTACCTTGTCTCACATCCGAAAAAGGGGCTTTTGGTTTTAGTTGGGATAAATTTCCTGATCTGGCTTGCTGCTTGGCTGCCTGTGGATGGGACAGTAGAGAGGAGGATCAGATGAGGTGGAGGAGAATGGGGCTGCCTGTGGCAGCAGTTCTGGTTTATGCTGGCTTAAAGTGGTTCTGAAAGTGCAGCATGGTGTAGTAGCAGGTGTGAGCCATTGAGGAGAACATGTTTCTGTAACGTTTTGACTTCGGCAAAGTAGAACATGTCCAAATATACAGAACATGAAAATAAATACTAAGTTTGGTTGTTCATGAACACATACACGGATGCAGCCTGCTGACATTGGCTTTAGAAATGTATTAAAGAGCCTTACTAAGTAGGCATTTTTTTTAAGTCTTTCTCTTTGTGTTGCATATACCATAGCACTTTTGAAAAGTCAAGTTTTGACATGGTCATTTTGGGGGTACATTTTCTTATTGAGAAATAGGATCTACATATAAGGCTATATTGGACAAATAAGAAAGATACAAAGTTATGAGTGGAAGTAAGAGGAAGGAAACTTCCTTTGGTTTTTGTGTTACTGCTGTTTATGTATATGACACTTTGAGAGCATTTACTTTAAAAGAAGGTAAGACTGAACAGGTTAGGTTTTAAGTCAGGTGTCTCTAAGACTCACAAGCAGGCACCAACTTATATTATGACTGGAGCAGTAAACAAAATAGACAAACAGAAGTGCAATTGTTGTTTTGTAACTGTCTGATTCTTTTTTCCCCCCAGGAAAGAAACCTCATCTCCTTCCCTGGGGAAAGACAGAGCAGACACAGTGATCATTGGAGGTGGTTGCGTTGGTGTGAGTCTAGCCTATCACTTGGCTAAGGCTGGCTTGAAGGATGTTGTTCTGCTAGAAAAATCTGAGCTCACTGCAGGATCTACTTGGCATGCAGTAAGAAATGTTTTGTTAATCTCTCAGATTAACAGCAGATTGTGTATCTAACAGTGAAGGAAGTTTCATTACCTTCATATTCCCTGGCTTTCCAGAGATTAACTATCTTGGTTATTTTATAGATACAAACTTTCGCACTGAGTTCTTTATAGTTTGGCTGTATGAGTTTTGAAAAGTTGGTTCAGCTATCCGTAGTACACTCTTCTCATTTGTAAAAATTGGGACAAATACTGTATTTTGAAATTACTGGAAGGTAACTTATTATTATACCTTTTTGGCAGTTAATTGTATTTAGATTTTAAACTTTATTTTAACTTGGATTTTTTAAATTTAAGGTTTTATTTCTAAGGTAATCTAATTTATACTGTAGACTTCATCATTGGAAGTGGATGAACTGGCATGCATAAACCAGAAATGTGAAATCTGGCATTATTGTACATGCAATTATTTTTTATATATGTGCCATCCTGAAAAAGAGGTGATCAAGAAGCAGCATCAGTGTCCAGTTCTCAGAGAATATCACTGTAGCAGAAACTGATTCTTATTAGAGACAAGAGCTTTATTTCCTGCCACCGCTGATAATACACAAAATCTTGGAGGAGCAAAGCTAAAAACTGTACAGTGTGGTTTTTTTTAAGGCTGAATGTTTTTCTGTACTCTAAGGAAAAGAACTAAAAAGACATACGTGTAATAATGACAGGGTGGGGACACGTCCTATAATAACGCTAATCACATGGACATACGGGTGCACAACATGCATGTATGTAATTACATATTTTCTATGTCAATGTCTGGAGTAGGTAGTGTAACAAAATGAAATAAAGCTTGCCACAATAATAGATGCTTTTTTCATTCATTTCCAGGTACACTTATCTGAAATTGAGAGAATGTTATCCCTGTGTGTATCAATGCAAAAGATTAAAACCCCAACAGTTTGTTCTCTCTAGAACTACTCTGTTAATACAATAGAGCATTTATGCAATAATTATAACTATAGTATCTGAATGCTTTTCAGGAACAAATTAAGGATAATTACTCAGCTGGGTTACGTTTGATTTGTATTCTCATACCTCTCCCAGGGGAGGAAGTCTGAAGTTTGAAATGCTTTGTCTTAGTGCAGATGTTTTGTGTGTTTGGGACCTTATGAGAGAACAATAGTAAAAAATGAAATTTAAAAAAACACTGCCTGAAATGTATAAGTAGGTTCATACTTCATTTTACTTGCTTTTCAACAGACAAAGCAAAAGAAAACACATTGCATGGAGTTAGAAAAAGCAAAATTCAGTAATTATGTGTCTTCTAGAGTCATACCACAGCTGATGTAGTTCAGTGAACAGAGCAACACATGCATCTTGCATATTGAATCATAACTATGAAATGTTCAAAGAAATACTTTGACTTAAATACGTGAGTGAGGCACAGACTGAATTCTATTTACCCAATGCATATGCAGAACAGTAAGCGTGTAAAAAATAACAAAACCCCCCTCATTGAATAAGAAACCAAACTGATGAATGGGGAGTTGTTACTAAATGTTTCCTTTGTTCTTCTTGTTATACTCGCTCACTCTAGCTTATTGCTCGTAACTATGTAAAAGCATCCTCTCCTCCATTATTTTTGCCCCCACTTCTTAGTGAATGCAGCAGTGGAGCACTGAGTGAGGAACTCTGTTTCAAAGGTAGGGAGGGACCTGGAGCACAGCAGAGAAAAAGCCGGCACTACCACTATAAAGGAGGCACCTGTTGCAACAGAATTTGATGCGATTGACACAGCAAGACACCTAGTTATGGGACAGGTTAAAATGGATAACTCTTGGGATAACTCATACTACATGGTATAATGTCTCTCTTGATTGAACTCAGTGTTAGAGTGCTATGTTTGAAGGTGAAAAAGTTGATGATAAGTCTACTTCAGATGATGAGAAAGATCAAAACTGGGACTGTGAGTTCTTTGTTATACTAGGTATGGTGCATTCATCACTGGCTTCCTCACAGTGATTCAGTACTAGATACAGATGAAAATTACACATATAGTTCACACGTGAAATGGCACATAGTATACTGCCTGCAGCCACTAATGTTGAAAGTCTGGTTAAGATGTTGCTGTACTATAGCACATCTACCCTCTTTCACAGTACCATAAGTCCTGCAGAGCTCAGGATCATGTTTCATATAAATCATATTCCTGCTAGTGTTCCTGCCAAAACTTTCTTCCACTTTTCAGATCTGAGATAAATTTGGCTGACTTTCATGTGTGTTATTGAAACAGCACAGAAAGTGTGCACATTTTTGTATTACCAGTAATAAGAAGATATAAACAACGGAGGAAGCACTGCTCATTTTTATACCTATCTAACCATGACGAAGTAGTAGTTATTATATGTGTGTAAATTAAGTCAAGGCTTAGGCTTTAAGAACTTTTGAAGTTGTACTATTCTACAGGTCACATCAGTTGCAGTCTCACTGAAGCCCTAGGGACTGAGCAAGGCATGTATATCTCACTCAGCAAATACATTTTTTGTGTTGTTACTTTTTGAAAAGGTGTTTTCTAAGAAAATGTTTAACATATCATTCTGTCACGTGATACTTTTTCTTGCAACATGCAATTGATTTTGCTGCTGACAGTTAATAAAGCACAGCCAAGACAAATAAAAACTTGTTTCAACTTGGTCAAACTTGCAAAAAGAGAGAATATAGTCCCTAGTTGTATCCTATATTGGATACAACACTGTTAATACCATTTTCCTCCAGAATGCTGATTTAATAATGATATTAGTACAAAATCTGAAACAGACTGGAATAGAACAAAACTGGTACGTAAACATTTTAGCATATAAAAAATTCAACTATAAAAATGCTTTAAAATCTCTGTGTCAATTCTCATAGCAAAGTGGCCATTCTTAAAATTGCTTTCCCAGATCATGTTCACCTACAATAACAAAATCTCTGTCTCACAAAAAATAGAGCAAAACCTAGAGCAAATCTCCTTCAAATAAAAGACTGTTTCACCCTGAAACTCAGGAAAACAAGAGCATTGGCCAGATGGGCCAGATAGGGAGCTCTTGACTTGTTCTGGAGCAAAAATGCAGCATACAGGAGGTAGAAGCAGGAAAAGGCTACAAAGTGGGCATGTGAAGGGCATGTTGGGAAAGCCAAAGCTCAACTATAGTTAAGACTCCTAAGGAACATTAAAGGCAACAAGAAGAGCTTCTGCTGCTGCATTAATAGTTAAAGACTGAACAAGGACAATGCAGGACTGTTGCTGAATGAGATGGGTAATTTAGTCACAGTGTACACTGATAAGGCTCAAGTACTCAATGCCGCCTTTGCCTGAGTTTTCACTGACAAGGTTTCTCAGGCCTCTCTGCTCTGAGCAAGGTTCAAGGAGAAGGGGAACTACCAGCAGTGGATGAATATCAAGCCAGGGATTACTGGGAGAGCTTGGCTCATGCACATACATTGGACTAGATGGGCTACATCCAAGAAGGCTGCTGATGGCATTGCAAGGTCACAGACGTATCAACTTTGAAAGACTGTGGAGATCGGTGGAGGTGCCCAACATTGGGAGAAGGGCACATGTATGTGTCTTTAGAAAAAGCCAAAGGGATGAGCAGAGGAGCTAAAGGCCAGCTAGCCATACTTTTGTTCTTGGGAAATCGTGGAGTGAGTCTCAGATCTGGGCCCATACAGGAGGAAAAAGGTGACTGGCAACAGTCAGCGTAGATTTGCAAGGTGTAAATCATATCTGACCAAACCTGATTGCTTTCTATGATAAAATGACTGAATTTGTAGACGAAGGGAGAGCAGTTGATGTCACTTACCCAGATTTTAGCAAGACTTTAGACACTGTCTTCCATAATATTCATGTATTCAACTGAAGTTGTTATGGTCTGTATGGCTGGCCAACTAGATAGTTAAAAGACTGTTTGGATAGTTGCGCTCAGAGGGTAGTGGTTAATGGGTCATACTCTACCCAAAGCCTGGAAATAAGTGGAGTGTCACAGGGGTCTGTCCTGGGACCCATCCTATTTAATATCTTTATCAATGATCTGGAGTAAGTGACAAAGTACATGCTCATGAAATTTGCAGTTGACACCAAACTGGGAGGACCGGTCAATGCACTCAAGGGCAAGGCTGCCATGCTCATGGATCTAGACAGGCTGGAAGGATGGACAGACAGGAACTTTATGAAATTTAACAAGGACAAATGCAAAGTTCTGCACTTGGCCAGGGGAGCAGTGCAGCCTCTGTCCTTGGAGATTTTCAAGACCATGTTGGAGAAAATCTTGAGCAACCTGGTCGGATCTCGTAGCTGACCCTGCTTTGAGATTGAGGTTGGATAGAGACCTCCCAAGTCAATCTGTTTGTTTTATTCTCATTATTTTATGATTCTTAATTTTTATATAGTCAGTCAGGTTATAGGTGTCTCCCAACTGCACCCCTGAAATCAGAAACATATGTTATCTTAAGCCAAAAGGCATAAAATGTGTTAAAATTCTTTTCTTCACTTAAAAATGTCAGAGAGAGACATTTTGATTTAATTCCTGCAATTAAATGCTCTTGAATGTATATGGTTTTATAGCTAACTTGCAAGTGATTTGTGGTTTATTTATTTGGTTCAAAATTACTTTACTAACAGTGACCACTAAAATGGAATTTCCCTACCTCTGGAAAATATATTAATACATTTGGAAAAATAACAGAAGACCAGAAAAGGTTTACATAAATAAACGAAGACAGTAAAAATAATATGAGATGTCAGAATTTGCAGGTACAAGTAAATTAATTACTTATAGGTTATTGTACAAGGTTAAGAAATCTAAGCATTTCAATGCCTAATTTATTTCTTTATTCTGTATACACAGAAAAAAAGGCCTTTAGGACTTATTTTTTAATAAACAAATAAGTTTTAATTAAATTTAAATTTAATTAAATTTAAATTAAAAATTCTGCAGTGAAATAGCCCTGGGTGTTTAGTCTAAGGTAATTAAAATAAATGTATTCATAACAACAAATCAGATCAAAAATGCATTTAGTCAAATATTCAGTCTCCAACAGTGTCCACTATGATGATGATCTGGTATGATAATAAAGAATAGGACAAGCAGTATTTTTCCAGACTATTAACTTAGCCCAGGGACTTTCTGAATCCATGAAAACATGCCTGCTTTGTGCTTAAAGTGGCCCTTAGTAGGTTTATCTCCCTCCTACAGATTTGTATGATCACTTTTTAAACTCAGATTGTTGAGGTAATGAAAAATACCAAACATACTTAGGGAACTTTAGCTAAATTTATTAATAAAATACAGGCACAATTGAAAAATAGAATACTGGTAAATGGTTCATTTTGCACATTAAAATATATCTTTAAAGACCACTAAATCTTGCTTTTTTTATTCATATGTATACAGTTACTCAACTAACTTCAAAAGTTAAAGCCTTGAAATATGTAGCACAGAACAGATTTTACAAGTTAAAATCAAGAGTAGTTAGTGTATATGCATACTGGGCAGCTAGAAGGAAACTATCAAAACTCTACTGTATGTGTTACTTTTTCACCTTTACATTTTGGGCTGTTTTTTTCTCAGCATGGCAGTGAACTCAAAAGTGGACTCTGGTGTCTAGCTCCCTTAACTGAAGCAATCTTAATCTATGAATACCAAAATATGCACTATATATATATATATAAAGTATTTAAATCAGTGTAGTTACTTCTCTTGAAAACCTAAGGTACTTTTGCATTTCTGTTGTCTCCCTTGGAAGAAGGGTTTTAGTGAGGTGTCAGATTCAGGAGATACGACATATGCTTAACTTCAGCAGCACTTTAATTCTGCTTTTTTTAAGTGCTAGATGTCTGCAGTTATGAATGTCATTATATTGATGCAACTGTCTTTATTGTAGGCAAGTGAACATTTTCCTTAAATATAGACGCGGCTGTAGCGCTTCTTGATTTTACCTTTGCATGAATGCAAAACGGCTTGACAGCTTTCTGAAGTCAGACCTGGTTAAATGATGTGCAAAACACATAGTAATTTCTTAATTGACTTCTGAAATGCAGCAATTGCTCTTTAACTGCCACATGAGACAACTGTTGAGAATAGAAGAACATTGGACTTCCACCGCCCTCCTGTTCACACCTCAGGAAAGTAATAACTCTTGTTAAGATATGGTCTTTGTGAAGGTTTTGTTTCCCTCCCATCTCCATTTGCAAGAAGGAAAAGATGCTGCTATGGGACATTTAGAGTTAACCAGTTGATTTAGTTGATCAGGAATGGAGTTGTGTGCCTCTTCCAAAAGATTTGAAACAGACAACTGAATAATTTAAGGAAGAGAGGAAACCATAGGAGAGAACAACTGCAACAGTATCATTGGTTGACAAATTTGATGAGAAGAGACAGGTGGAAAAAGAAATGTGCATAGAACAAGAATGCCACAAGTAGGG